ACAAAATTGATTTCCCTCAAAAGCCTCAACAAAAAATGGAGTTATCCAAAGTATAATGTCATAAGGTTAATGCGGCCGCCATGCATTAACACGACGTACAGCCTTTGAGTTGTATGTGCACGTTTCTCCAAAAGCTGAAATGATAAAAATAGGCATTTCTATAGGAACTACTTGTAGTGACATAAAAGGAGTAAATAATTACTCCCTTCGTTCCTAGTTTTTCTTCCATAGTATAAATGACACAGAAATTAAGACAATGGACATTGTGTGATGGAAAGTTATGTAGATGAGAGAGAAATGCGTAAGAATTGCTGAAACCACAAATTTTTTACCAAAAAAGGGAAAATGAAAGTTTATTTTGGGACGCTAAAAAAGGAAAGTTGAAATTTTTTTTAGGGACGGAGGGAGTATGTGATTTTTATACTCTAGTGATCATAATGTCAATTTTAGACTGCATTTGACAACTCTTGTTTTTTGTCTAACTTTTTAGTTAAGAATGTATTTTTTTGGAAGTCAGATTGATCGTATAATAGTCAAAATAAATAAAGTTGAAGTTTTTTTGACTTTGTTTACTAAAGACGCCTATCTCAACTGTATTTTCATATGGTTTTTTCTTTAATTTATTAGTGAATATGTTTTCAATAAAAATTGCAGCGTAATATAATTAGTCAATTCAGATGCTTAAACACGCTCTCACAAGTTTTAACCGATTCAATCAATTTCATTATGACCAGACCAAATAGACTAATGGAGGCTATTATCATATTGAATTTTACTTTGTAATGATGATAATGGTATATTTATAGTAATTTTGTTTGTACTTTTATTAATAAATTTTATTTCATTTATATTCAAAGAAAAATATCACAATTGTAAGACCGGACATAAAAAGGTAATAATTTAACAACATTTTTTTGGAGAAATTGAAACAAATTTGTATGAAGCTCAGGTGTAGTCAATTTATATTTTAATTAATCATTGCTTCCCATATGATATGGACCATGAATCGTGTTGCACAAAGTAGGGTACCAAACTTTCTAAACCTCATTTAGAATGAAACATCAAAATAACGATTTGGTTGTTTTGTTATTCATTGGTTTCAAATCTTGATGTGGATCCTAGGCCACTTAAAATGAAGTCTTCTCTTATTTTTGGCTAATTCATTTAAGACAGCCTATCTTTAAAAGTGAATAATAGAGGGAATGATGCACCAGATTATATCGTCATATGTGAAATACATACATTTAATCTCTTTAACTAAAAAGCATCAAAATCCTAACTCTTATTATTAATCTTAGTTATCTAGCACAATTGCACCTAATTAATGATAAGACGAAGGTACACATTTTGAATAAAATTAAGTGTTCAGTATTTTGTACGGAGTATAATGTAGATATTTAAATATTTATGTGTATGTTTAATAAAAACATTAAGACACACATATCATTTTGGACTACTAAGTTTGTGGTTTAAATGTGTTACGTCCATGATGAATTATAATACATGAGAGTCTTAACGCATTTTTTAAAATCACGATGAGGAAAAGCACAAAAGTTTTATATATAATATGATGGAGTTTCGTATATTAAATATGGTAATAAACAAATTTCATGAAACCTAGTTTAAGGTTGTGAGACATTTTCTCTCAAGGTCTCTTTAGGTCCCTTTTATATCTTATTCTAGAAATTCTTGAAATATTTGTTTATTATATTTTAAATCAAATTTTACAATGTATCAGAACCTGTGTATTTTCCAATAAATACAAATTTTAGTTATTAATATGGAATTATATATTATAATGGAAAAGCTAAGTCATCCACCAATTATTTAATTGAATCATAAACTTTCACATAGACATTGAGGGCTTTATTAGTAAATATAATATTTATGCCATTTTACAATTTAAGATACAAAATATTCTGTCTTGAGCAATTAATTTATAATAGAGGCATTTGGATCAGTTTTTTGAAATTATTTCTACTCAGTCAACAAGTAGAAACATATATTGGGGTGTTTGAGTTAAATTTTAAATTTATAAATACTTCCAATTACTTCTAATTGCTCCATAGATACAGATTTTGAGAAGTTGGGAAGACCATCTTGTTGAAAATTGGTTCCAAAATTTTAAACTTTTAGCATGACATTTAATATGAATATAAATACAAATATAAATATAGATGTAAATATAAATATAAATATAAATATAAATATAAATATAAATATAAATATAAATATAAATATAAATATAAATATAAATATAAATATAAATATAAATATAAATATAAATATAAATATAAATATAAATATAAATATAAATATAAATATAAATATAAATATAAATATAAATATAAATATAAATATAAATATAAATATAAATATAAATATAAATATAAATATAAATATAAATATAAATATAAATATAAATATAAATATTAATATAAATATAAATATAAATATAAATATAAACATAAATATAAATATAAATATAAACATAAATATAAACATAAATATAAACATAAATATAAACATAAATATAAACATAAATATAAATATAAATTTAAATATAAATACAAATATAAATATAAATATAAATACAAATATAAATTTAAGTATAACTTTATATATATATTCAATATATATATATATATATATATATATATATATATATATATATAACTTCATGTCAGGCCGGCCTGACGGGCTGCCCCGTCCGGCCAAGCCCGTTTGGGCACCTTCCCGGTGGAATTTTTTGATGAATTTTTTTGAGCATGTTCCTCATCAAGTCTAGTTTGTCCATACCAAATTTCATCTCAAAATTCGATCGGGAAGGTTGTCAAATGATTTTTTTCAAGTTAACTGGTCCAGAATATGTATTTTCCAGACCAGTTAACTTGCAAAAATCATTTGACGACCTTCCCGGTCGAATTTTGAGCTGAAATTTGGTATGGACAAACTAGACTTGATGAGGAACATGCTCAAAAAGTTTCATAAAAAAATTCCACCGAGAAGGTGCCCAAACGGGCTCGGCCGGACGGGGCAGCCCGTCAGGCCGGCCTGATGAGAAGAGCCCTCTATATATATATATACACACACGTTATTCTACATGATTTGAAATGATTAATAAGTAGTTATTATTTCTACTCAATTTTAGTGACCCTTTTTACTTTTTTTTCGAATATTTGTTTTACATCACGTAGTCAATGTAATACCAATGCTATTTTAAAATGAACAATACTAATACTCTGTTCAAAGACGATCAATATTTTAATTTAATCAATATTTTTTTCAACTATAACCCAACAAAAAAATGTATATAAATTCTCTATCCCATGCAACAAAGTCAACATGAAAGACTTCAACCACAATCATTTTTGCAGACAATATAAGATTCCAATTCAGGATAGATTTTTAAAAAGAAGTAGAATCAATTGCTGACACTCTATTTATTTTAAATTAAGCAATTAACATAAATTTTTAAAAATTGGTTGTGTAATTTTTAACAAAAACCATTAAACACCACCTAGTTACTAACATCCGAGATGCACTTTTAGTATTTGAATTTTAATCAAACTATAGTGCCATTATCCATGTGTATAATTTTACATAATCTTCACATGTGCATGCATGATCATGAATAATTCAAAGAGTGAATCACTCAAATAGGAGTAAAAAATGGTAAAAAAATCCAAAAATTCTTTCGTATTTAAAAGTTTGTTACTCTTTCCTATTTGAGATGTATTTAAAACTTTGCCGCACTTTTTTTTAAATAAGTTTTTCCTTTAAAAATACGCAATTACTCCTACTTTTTCTACTTTTATCGCTTTTTTTACCTTTCATCTTCTTTCATACGTTTTCTAATATATTCACCTTCTCTATTTCAATGTATTAGAATAAGATATACAGCCACCGCCTAGCTGCCCCGCCCGCCGCCCGCCTGAATGTTCCGCCACCAACGGACTGCCCTGATTGCCAAGGAAAATAGGGGGTCATTAATTTATGAGATTATGAGTACAAGAAAATTAATGTTTAGTTCTATTTGTAAAAGATTTAAGTTTTAGTCACATTTATGCAATTATGTTTCCGCTTATTTAATTACTATATCTAAAATTGTTTTAGAAATAACGTATGATCGTGCATGCACATAAATTCAAATACCAAATTAACGCTAAAAATTGTTTTGAGTATGAGTACAAACATTTTAAAATTTCAAAATAGAACCTTCATATTTTTATTCCCTAAATGAGAATAACTTCTGTCAAATTTGAAAAAAGACAATGTTTGAAGTCTTATAATACCAAATTTGTTAGATATTACTCATATTTAATTTAAAAAATAAAAAATATACTACTCCCTCCGTTCTTTTTTATTAGTTCTTCTTTCATTTTTGGGACGTTTTTTTTTCTGTCCTCCTTTCCATTTAAGGAAAATTTTTACTCTAAATATACCTTTATACCCCAACTTTTATTACCATTATCCCTTTCTCTTTCCTACTCTTTCATTTACCCACTACTCATTACACCTTTTACACTACCCCTACTACTTTTCTCTACCTGTGCCAAAGTCTAAGAGGACTAATATTAAAGAACGGAGGTAGTAGTAACAATTTATTTCGGAATTACAAAACTTTTTTTTATTCTTGTAGGATTTTCGCATTTGCCTAGCGGTAAAAAAGAGACTGATTGAAGCCATGATCCATCTTTTCTAAGTTTTCTTGTTGTTTACTGCATTTAGCTTACAGATTTTCCACGCGACAGTTTTAACATTTCAGAAGCACATCCTCTTGAAAAACGAGCCGGTGAAGACGTGGAAATGTGAACTACACAGCAGATATGCATGCTTATCCTACTTTATTATTTTTCTGTTAAAAATTTATACTTTATTTGTACGGAGCACGGACAATTATTTGACGATTTTTTTTTTTTTTTTTTTTTTTTTTTTTTTTTTTTTTTGCAAAAGTCCAACATTGGGATTCTGGGAATTGGGAATTTATTACTCATAGATAAGCACAAATTCTTCTCTGCGTATATACTACCCCGTATTTGTTCTTGAAAAACCGTGAAGTTAGAATTTTGATTCTCATCGGGAAAAAAAGAATTTTGATTCTTGAAGTACAAGGGGGACATCCGATTATCCGAATACAATGGAATCGGCGGCTGAACGGCGGCTGAACGCTATTCAAGGTCACCTGGCTTCGGCCAATGGCGGGGAATCGTTCTCCTTGATTCGTTCAAACCTCACCTCCGGCGAATATTTCCACGGTAACAACACTTATAGGACTACTCTTTTTGGACCGAGTCCAACGCTTTTGGCTGGATGCTTTTAGTATATGCTGCGATATAAGTGTCTGATTGGCTGAAAAATTGAGAGAGCAGCCATGGTGAGGGATTGATTTTTGGCTTACTTCCGGAAGAAGTTGGGAAGAGTGATTTCACTATCTAGATTTTTTTGGGTGATTTATGCGTTCGAATCAAATTCCGTTCATTAAAGATACCAGTTTGCTTGAACGAGCTAGCTCCATCAAATTTGATCTCTTTCCTGGAAGTATAGGATCTTTAATGGCACTCTTCGTTGCATGATGCATTTTTGTGCATCATGAAGTTTAGATGATTGTTTCAAAATTTTATCATCATTACGGTGCAAAGGCTCCCGCCTACGGTGGGTAAGGGGTCGGATGTACGCAGTCTTACTCCGTACTAAAGCCTAAAGCACAGAGAGACCGTTTCCGGATGACCCACGGTGAAAATCACATCAAAATTTGCATGGACTGTCTGTCGGCTGATGTAGCACACAGTTTATTTCAAAATTTAATGCTTTTGTTATTTGTTTCAGTGTTTTTATATCTTATATATAAATTTGACTATTTTCTTGCTCCTTTGAGATAACTTGCATTTCAATGGTTGTCAGGCCAAGGGTACAGTGTAGTTCTTCCCGAGAAGTTGCAGACGGGAAAGTGGGATGTATACAGGTATAGTATTATTCTACAACAACTGTAATATAGTTTTTGTTTCAGTCTCTTTCGTCCTGCATATTTAAGGGAATGAAACTGAACCGTGGCTACAGATCTGCACGCTCTCCTATGAAGCTTGTAACTAGATTTGCTGATCATCCTGATATTGGTACACTACATGACAATTTTGTGTAAGAATTTATTTGTATGCTTTGCTGTAAGTTTATTCTCATCATTTTATTGGCTAGGGGATTGATGAAAAGTTTTATTCTCTACTTTCCTAATCCATGTGAAGCATCAGTTTAGTTTCTTGTTTTAAGGCATCTGCCTTGGTTCTCTTGGTTTCCATGCAATTATTTTTTCTACAGGCATGCCGTTGAAACCTTTCAAGATTACAAATACTTGGGCACTCGTATTCGAGAAGATGGAAGCATTGAAGAGTGAGTTCCTTTGGTTGAACATTTCCTCTGAAGCTGGATGTATTTTATGAAATATTAATAAAATTCAATTGATTGTACTTGTCTTGTTTATAACATTTTATAGTTACAAATGGATGACATATGGAGAAGCTGGATCAGCAAGGTCAGCAATTGGCTCTGGACTTCTTTTTTGTGGACTAGAGCCAGTGAGTTAACATAATGTCTTGCATGTTAAACTCTTGATGTCTTTTTTTGGAGGAGAGATTTGATTTGATTTTTACTTCACTACACATATCAGCAGATACTTTTATGTCTTTCAAATCTACTAGCATACTTCTCAATATAGTTGCTAATTGTTTTGATATTTGATTCTGTTTATACTCATCCTTTTGGCCCAATATTTCCTTAGATATGATGATTTGAAAGTTTGGATTTCTAATGGACCAGGGAGCTCGTGTGGGAATTTATTTCATAAATAGGCCAGAATGGCTCATTGTGGATCATGCCTGCTCAGCTTTTTCATATATCTCAGTACCGCTATATGACACTCTTGGTGTGTATCGTGCATTATAAATAAATCTTACGCTGTCTTATGAAGGGTTTTAAAGTTTGAATTTTGCATCTGTAGGTCCTGATGCTGTTAAGTATATTGTCAACCATGCCGGTATAGAGGCAATCTTTTGTGTACCTAATACCCTGAATACTGTGAGTATGCTTTAAAGATTTGATGGGCCTCCGCACATGCTGTTGGGTATACTCTACCATGTTAAGTAAATCATATCAGATAATTAACAACTATGAAGTTATTAAATTTCCTGTAAGTTAACAATAAATCGAATGTTACGAAAGTCTGTATAGCTCATAAAGTTACGATTGGGTAGCACGGTAGCAGAAGAGAATATTGTTATCAAAAAGGCTCTCAGAATCAAAATGAAGCATGATAACTGGATGAGAAAAACTAAGACAGATACCTCTCTGGTTTAACTGCATAACTATTATCTGTTCAACAGATTCTGTGACAAGGATCCGCTGATTCAGATTGGGAGATATAGTAATTTAGAAAAAAGGGTTGACTAGGTATAAGAAATAAGGAGGTGCAGATAACTTTTTCAAAAGGAAAAATCTTTTTTCAAGTCTACATGCCTCACTAACCTGAACAGGCCATTGAATTAATTTGCTGAAAATATTCACATTGAAATATATTTTCAAAAGTATTAACATAATACTTGATTTTAAAATTTCAGTTGTTGAGCTTCTTGTCAGAGGTTCCTTGTGTACGTGTCATAGTGGTATGTAGTTCACATCCTCTTTAAACTCAGTCCTGTCTTAATATAAAATGATATTAGATCAATATCATTGTGAGAGTTATTTCTTTTTCCGCCCTCATTATCATAGGTAGTGGGTGGAATTGATGAGCATCTCCCTTCTCTTCCTTTGGCAACTGGAATTAAGCTGTTATCATATTCAAAGCTACTTCATCAGGTATATTTAATCAATTTTGAATTAAACTTATAATATTATGTGGAAAGTGGAGCACTGGAAAAGTAAATCTGTGACTATTAGTGAGTATTGTTGCTCTTTTGTCTATCTAGCTTCTGTAAGCTGTTTAGGTGTTTAATTGCTTTGGAATATCTAATTTAATTGCTTTGGGATTCCTTGGTGGAACTCTTTAGGCTCATTTAACTTGGACGATAATATGAGATGGATCAATGTTTCTAAGCTTGGAAGCTTTGTAGATGTTATAAGTCCTGTTCCATGATGTGGTCGTTAATTTACCACTTGTAGCTGTGGAATGATCAAACTGCTTTTATTGATTTATACTTGCAACTTACAACTTACAACTTCACAATTCTAAACACTATGACAGTGCCTATATACAGATATAATGGGCCTAGCCCATGTTCTGAAGTATATGTGAGCTAAAGGAATTTAGCATAAACAGTGAGTGCTTTATATTTATGGAGTACTCCCTCTGTCCCAAAGGGATAGCCCCAAAATTTTTGGGCACACTGACTAAGGAAGATGTTAAAATTCCAATGGTACCCTCATCACATAATTCCATCCTTTTCATTTCCTACGTATTCACCACACTCCCATCCAGCTCTACCGTTTTCATCCCTATCTTTATTCTCTCTAGGGTCTGCGATTAATCTCTTTCTTTGAGGATTGATTAAGTCAATATTTTGTTTTTCGAATAAGGTTCTGATTTTGAAAGATTAGATGTCAAATTTGGTGTTGGATCTGGTGAGGTGGTTCAAATTTGATTTAGGATTTTATAGAGTTACGGCAGGAGAGCATTTGTTTCGTCTGCGAGGTTTTCTTCCCTGGTATGCGGTAGCAACTGAATTGAAGAAATCCTTTTGGCAATAATAAAGAGGTTACAGGATGGCAAAGTTGAAATTTAAAATTTAATGAATGTTAAATGAACATTTGACACTAGATGTTTTGCCATAAAAGGAAATCGGACTATCAATTTGGGACACCCCAAAATGGTAAAATGGGACTCTCAATTTGGGACAGAAGGAGTATCTCATATACTCCAGTTTGGGTTTTGGTCACCAACCGAAACCAAGGAGTAAAAGCTGCTGCTTTACCAAAAACTTTTATTTTACTGTAAACGGTAATCCAAACTGATTTCGGTCTGTTCAGCCATCGGTTTTTAGGTCAGTTATTTGCTCACCCTTAGATATACTGTGCTTGTTGGTTTTCAACTTTACAATATCTGCATCCATCAGGAATAATATGTTAGAAATTCTAGTCATGTTATGTTTCACTTCCTTTCTAGGGTCTGAACAATATTCAGCCATTTTACCCTCCCAAGCCTGAAGATATTGCTACCATATGCTATACAAGTGGTACAACAGGAACACCAAAGGTCCAACTTATGAATAAAGTTTTATGTCCCCTCTCAGGATCTCTCTTCAACTTCCTTGCAAACTTTAATAATTAAATGGCTTGTTTTATACAGGGCGCTGTATTATCACATGCAAATTTGATAGCAAGTGTTGCTGGGTCAACCCTTGGAATTGAATTCTGTCCTTCAGATATGTAAGTTTATGGTTAAACATCTAAATAAGCTATCAATTTATCATGCTCTCCTTTTTTTGGAATAGATGTTAACAAAAAGAAATTAATGCATGGATGTTGAAAGGGAAAAGACTACCCCATTTCCAGTACATTCATGTTTGCCTTTTGGTTTGGGTACCAATTGGACTTTCCACCTCTTAACAGATACATATCTTATCTACCTCTGGCACATATCTATGAAAGAGCTTATCAAATTGCAACAGTATATTTTGGTGTTGCTGTTGGCTTCTATCAAGGGGTTAGTCATTTGACGTTACACTGTGTGCTCTCAATGCCTATATGGCGTTTCATATCTATTTTATTGTCTTATCTATTGTTTTGAGAAAATATGTTTATTAGCAAAATAGCAATTAGAAATAAACGATTCCTGGTTTTGAGATAGTATGCACATTTATTATGATCAAACACCTCCTAATTTACTAACTACAAACTCATCTTGGTCATCCGTTGAATTGATCTTAAGGTTGGAATCGCATGGTGGCATTTTGGTAATAAAATCATTTTTTTTTTCAGGTGCAAGTGTGCAACTATTTGAACGTTAATATGCAACTGTTATTTCATTACACAATAATAATATGCAACCCTTTGAACCTCAATATGCAATACAAATAGTATAAAGATGCATCGTACAAACGTTTGCACTATAAGCACAGTTTGTACCCAATCCGCCCTATACACACACACACACATACACTGGAGGATGGCCTGGTTCTGTCTGCCATCTCTTTCATGTTTTTACGGAAGCATTGTTTTCTATGGTTCCATAGTGTAGTATTTTGATTTCTTTCATGGCCTCTTACAGCTCTCACGTAGAGCCATGTGTGTGCATTCACAAATATTTGCCTAACACAGGGCTGCTGGTGTCATAAATGAGTTATACTTGCATGTTTTCAACCACTTGAAAGCTTATTTATCAATATGTCATTTGCCTAGTTCTCAACCAAGTTCTACTCTACACACTTAAATCCCTCAATTTGCAGGACAATCTAAAATTGGTGGAAGATATGGCTGTTCTGAGACCTACTATATTTAGTAGTGTCCCTCGTCTTTACAACAGAATATATGCTGGGTAATGGTGATGAAAGGATGATCTATAACTCTGTATGCTTTGTTCTATAGTGTTTGTCTATAATTTGTCTGATTTGCATTAGGATCACACATGCTGTGAAAACTTCCGGAGCACTAAGAGAAAGGTTATTTAATGCTGCTTACAACTCCAAAAAGCAAGCCATCATAAATAGTGAGTATTCTATTGAACAAAATATTCTTACTGCATGGCCTTTTCTGCCTGTGTTCCATATAGTGGGGTAGGAATTCCCACTTAATTGTCCGTCACCTCCTATTTCAATTGTATTGTCTTATCTCTATGGTGGCCAGAGAGTTTGCATACCAACTGCTGAATTTGCCTTTCACTGTTGGGTCAGTTGGAACATAGTGAAAAAGGTCAACCCTTATAACAACTTTTTTTGGTCATAAAAGGTTAAAAATTTTCTTCTTGCCGGAATTTGGATCTGCCTATAGTTAAAAAAAATACTTAATAAAAAGAAAAGATTAAGAATGCTACAAAAGCTGTACATAGATTATTCTTCTGGCTTCGGTGATTCTTATAGAATAAATGTTTTATCACCAAGTAAAGTTTGATCTTATTTTGTTTGTCTGCCTTCTCTCTATTTTAACAGACTAATAATAAAAACATTCTACATGTTCAAATTTAGAAATCATTACATATCAGTACATAATTAAATATAAAATGCAATACATTTTTAACAATGCATTGCATTACAAAATGTCAGTGTTGCTACGAAGAAATACCACAAAAATTCTCTATATTAAAAAATGACATCGTTAACGAGTTTCGGAACTTTATTATTCAGGGAAACGAGTTTCCTAATTCTTCTTCATTATGATAACGGTCCCGAAACAGAATTTTGAAGTTTTCGAGTTTTCGAAATGCTTTTGAGTTTCAGAAACGGGGAAAGGTGAGCCACAGAGAGTTTCTGTGCTTCATAGTAATTTATGCTCTTACCCCTTCATTCAGTAATCCTTCTCCTTTATTTATCCCATGAGAGACCCCTATATCTTTTCAAGCTTGTTTGGGTATGAAAGACAAACAAAACCTGTAAGAAAGATAGCTTTCCTAGTACTAGATCCTGTAACAACAACAACCAAGATTTTCTCCCAAATCAAGTAGGTTAAACGAGATTAGCAAACAAAGGCTGTAAGATCGGTTCTTTTCCTAGCAGTAGATCCTGTAAAACAAAGAAAAGCTGTTGCTCATTCATGCTGACTTACAAGTTACAAGCTCAATTTGTGGTTCGCTCATTTACTTCATTCAGGCAAAAAACCATCACCCATATGGGATAGATTGGTATTTAATAAGATAAAGGACAAACTTGGAGGCCGGGTTCGCCTTATGACTTCAGGTGCCTCACCATTATCTCCTGATGTCATGGAATTCTTGAGGGTGTAAGTCCATTGCGCTTCTGTCAATAAATGATGATAAGTTTTATCTAATCTAGTAATTTACAGCAAATTCCTTTACACCGGGTACATTGATACTCCTTTCTATCTCTGTAATATGTGAATCAAATTTGCAGATGTTTTGGCTGTCGAGTTACTGAAGGGTATGGCATGACTGAGACTTCGTGTGTTATTAGCTCTATTGATGATGGTGACACCTTAATTGGCCATGTTGGTTCTCCCAACCCAGCATGTGGTAAGTTGCTGCCTGTCTGATTTGGGAAAAGTAGTAACTATACATGACAGTGTTGCTCAAACTACTGACAATTTCTACATATTCTTCAACTATCTAGTAGTATCAACCAACACGTGATGAAGATGTATAAGATAGAAAGTTAGAAATCTGTCTTGCTTTTACACAATTGGCATTTTCTCTCTGTAATAAATAAGATCATAAGGTGAAACTCTAAGCCCCTTACTTCTACGACAACCGCAATCGTATATCTCATTCCCTCTGTTCCTTTTAAGTCTCATTTACCTTTTTGGTTGATGCTATCTCCAGTTTCTTGTTAAACACTACTGACATGTTGACCTGTTTGCACCTTTTTATATATAATGATAATGATAGGAGCAGGGAAAAGGTTAGGGAAACAAGTCCCATCTTTAATTAAAAGAAGACAATACTTTATTACCACCCTGTTATCCTAACCCTTTTCCCGACCCTTTCCACGATCCTATCATTATCCTACCCCCTTGTCAAAGGGTAAATTGGCAAGTTGATCATATATTGCTAATTTCCTTAACGTCAGTGCGAAAAGCAATTAAGACATATATTGGGAGAAATTGAGTATAATTTGAGTTAATGTAATTGTTAAGTAATTGTACTGGAATGATAATGATCTAATAGGTAGTGCGTCGTCATAACCTAATCATGTGAGGCAGTCAATCCTTCATTTTATGGGCCTGAATTGTCACTTTAATGAAATTCAGAAATCAAGCTTGTGGATGTTCCTGAGATGAATTACACATCTGAGGACAAGCCTTACCAAAGAGGAGAGATCTGTGTCAGGGGCCCCATTGTTTTCCAAGGCTATTACAAAGACGAAGTGCAAACGTATAATCCTTCACATTGAAGCATATTTAGAAAGTCTTGGAGATTTTTTTGAGGAAGACCTGGACTAACATTGTTAACTGACAGGAAGGAGGTACTTGACGAAGAGAATTGGCTGCACACTGGAGATATTGGATTGTGGTTACCTGGAGGTCGCTTGAAGATTATCGACAGGTAGTATCTTTCATTGTGGTGAGCTTGGTAGCTTTCATGTATACATCCCTTTACTATGGAGATGTATTGTTTGTCTGTTATGCACTGATCTGGATGATCATAATTGAAAATTTAACAATTATGAATTTATTTTATAAGTGACTGTTTCACTTTCATTGTACGAACGTTCATGTTCAGTTCTCATGGTTTTCAGGAAAAAGAATATATTTAAGTTGGCACAGGGTGAATACATAGCTCCAGAGAAAATTGAAAACACTTACGCCAAGTGCAAATTTGTTGCACAGTGCTTTGTACATGGTAAAAGGACAACTGGAATTTGCATGTTGGAGATTTGTACGCTGCTGTCTGCTCACTTCTTAATGTCTCTGCAGGTGATAGCTTGAATTCCTCTCTAGTGTCTGTGGTTTGTGCAGATCCGGATGTGTTGAAGGAATGGGCTACATCTGAGGGCATTAAGGTAACTACTATACGGCTATACCCCAAGTACCTTGACTCTCGAAGTCAATTTTTAATAGCTCTATTTTAATTGATAAATGTCTGGGTAACAGTATGACAGTTTGCAACAATTATGCAATGATCCAAGAGTCAAGGCTGCCGTTCTAGCAGACATGGACGCTGTAGGAAGGGAGGCTCAGGTTTTTCACTCTTGTTGTTTTAACCTGTGTTTGTTCTCTTGGCTTGCAACTTAACATTTCAATTAGCTTCTAAACTTTGCTCTTGGCAGTTAAAGTATTCAAAAGTATACAAGTATAGAATTATACTTGTTTTAGTTAGGGGTGGGGTAACCCTACCAGGTAACTGCCCTGCCACAAAGTTTCCAAGTGGCCTGGTTTTAAGTGTCATTGGTAGTTGGGGTTCAATTATTCTGGTCTGAACGAAAGCTTTGCCTGACCAGGCCCAGCCTAGCTTATGCCACCCCTAGATATTTGTACTGCAGTTTGCTACTGTCATCAAGATTTTATTCTCCATTACTATTGGGTTAGAGTGTTGGACATACATTCTCTATATGAGAATTGCATCAGTGTTTAGTAATTAAAATTTTAAGTCTAAAGTGATGTCAATTTAAATAGTAGGTTGTGGTAGATAATTCATCAATGTGTATATTTATTTCTGCAGCTGAGAGGGTTTGAATTCGCAAAAGCAGTCACCTTAGTGGCCGAACCATTTACAATCGAGAACGGTCTCCTAACACCCACATTTAAGGTGAGTTTCTGACTCTTCTGCCCGTGTTTTAATTGAAGATAAACTACAGGTTCAAAGCGATGTAAACCACTTTGCTCAATTAAGTGTCCTTTAAAATTTGGTCGGTTTACTATATGCATTTTAAAGTTCCGTATGTATATTTTAGGATATGAACTAACACCACTAGACCAAACAAATTACCACATTGCCATGTTATTTGCTTAGGATGTTTTACTTGGACTGAAATTTTCTGGTCTGGTCTGGTCTGAACTGGTCTAGTCTTGTAGATGTCTGGTCTCTGTGTATTTTACAACTGTCGAGGTCTGGTCTCATCTGATCTTAAGAAGTAAATGAACTTAAAGTCACTAGATAATCGCCACACTGATTTAGATGAATGCTCAATACTGCCTCAATCGAATATAGTTGGTTTTGCTTATAGTTTCAGCCAATAAAGTTTCGAACAGGTGAAAGTTTATATGAATGTTAAGGAGGGGGGATGCATTGGAAAATCATTTAAGTGTATGGTTCTTGTTGGTACATTTACTAAACCCCCCAGATAATTTGTATTCCACCCATACTGAGCGCTGATCATGAACCGAGTGTCTAAAATTACATAATTTGTAGGTCATAACAATTTTTTCATGTATATTTTTTTGGACCTAACTTGTAGGTTAAGAGGCCACAGGCAAAAGCATACTTTGCAAAAGCAATATCTCAAATGTACGATGAGCTTTCCAGATCTGATCCCGGGCAAAAAGTCTTGTAGGCAGAAGCGGAAGGAAACAATGTTGCTTCAGGTGCCTGCTGGTTTCCTGCATTTAATAATAATGAAGTATCTTGAAGCTAATGTTGTATTTACAAGCATAGCACACTTTAACTTTGCAGCTATGGTCAAATGGCTTTACCATATTCACAGAATGTTTTCTAGAATATGTAGCTGATTAGCTGAAAAGTTATGACCTTAATAATTCAAGCCTTCAACGATCATCTTCCAACTACATCATCTTCCAACTACATTTGAAATACGGAGTAAAAAAAAGGATGACACCCCATCCCTGAGGGCCCCCCAACACCGACTGGACGGTACGATGGGAGGATGTAAATTAGACTATAATCACAATCTGACAGATAGAGAGTGAGGCTCTGTGGATGACACCCCATCCCTGAGGGCCCCCCAACACCGACCGGATGGTACGATGGGAGGATGTAAATTAGACTATAATCACAATCTGACAGATAGAGAGTGAGGCTCTGTCCCTGATACTTGCAGAGGCCCTATGCATTTTTCAGCATAGTAACCCCTCATCGCAGTTGTCGGGATTCGAACTCGAGACCTAACCCTTGTGGCACTCCCTCGCTACCAGTTGAGTTATGCCCACTAGGGTTGGACTCGGGCCGGGCCTAGGCCCGGGCGGGCCGCCGGTTCTGAATAGTTGGGTCCAGGACCGGCCCGGGTAGCTACCGGGTCTGGGTCGGGTCGGGTCCCGGTTTTGGGCCCGCAGCACCGGGCCGGTCTGGTCCCGCACACTAGCGGGCTGGGCCGGTTCCCGGCCCGGGTGGCCCGAATCGAGTCCAGGACTGACGCCCACCGGTAAAACTAAGGTATGGGTAAACTTTTTATAGTGACTAGCTCCACCGCTTTCACGGCCCCTTACCCTAGAAACCCAACTTTGTCTTGGCCCTAAAGGTTAGTATACACCGCTTGGCCCTACCACTTAAAGAGTTTTTTGGGGGAGCATAGTTTCACTGGTGCTAGTGGAACTCGAACACGAGACCTCTCCTATGCAAGGATAACCTCACAACTAGCTAGGCTGGAAGTGATGGTTTGAAATACGGAGTAGTAATTACAGGATGAAAGGATAAAGAGTAATAATGTAATATACGCTGTAACTGTTTGTTGTACAACTATTTTCTAAAAAACCTCACAGTTATCGACTAAATGGAATCAGGCGGGAACAATTATGTTCAGCCGATTCGATTTATATATATATGTAAAGATATGAAGTGTTAATAACTAATTATTCCTATTGCGGAAGAGAGCCTAGGGTTAGGCGGTGAGTTTTGAACAGTTTTCACGGAAAGATTGAGCGAAGTACAAGGCGCCGAGGCAAATTCAGGGGCAGCACGGAGAGGATAGTCGCCTGAGGTTTCGATTGAGTTGGTGCTGCGATCATCGGCTCGGTTGAAGAAGGAACTACCTCCTCACGTGGATTGGAGCTGCGGACGATTGAGCGAAGGAGGCAGACCATCTGGACGATTGGAGAAACGTTTCACCAGGGCTCCGATCGGGACTAGTTAGGCTTTGATTGCAGAAACAACTGGATTTATTTGGGCCTAGTGGTACAAACGGTTGAGGGAGGGGGCAGGCTCAGTTGTGCGGCTATTTGGTTGGATTCGTTCGGGCCACTCTAGGGCAGATGACGGCGGCGAGAATCAAGGTTTCGGGTGCGGCGAATGGGAGTCTAGTGCTTGTTTGGACCATCACTCTGGAAAACTTGTGCTCAGGCGGTGTTGAAGCATCAATCTTACAGGTCCTGGCGGTCCGGCCTCCTGAACCACCGCCATGGACTGTACGAGTTGAAGCTTTAGCGGTTTGTGGAAGGATTCAGTTCGAAAGGATCAAGAATAAGAGAGCTTGGGAAGCAGGGACATGCTCGTTTAGATTGCATTTTATTATTGTTATTTTCCAGTTCGTTTTTTATTTTGGACCTTTAGTTGTTTGGGTGTGTTATGCTTTTGTGATGTGTGTGCATATTATTGTGAGAAGTAAGATGGCTTGTAAAGCCGAGATAATCTTCAAATCTCTCAGATGGTTAGCGACTCGATCCGCTCTAGTTAGGGTGGTCGTTTCTATGTCTAATCAGAGAGTGAGGGGACTTTCGGGTTTTGGTGAGAATGGTAGCAGGAGGCTGTTCAGAGTTGAAAAGTTTGTAATGTCGTTGGTTCTGGAATTTTAATATAATCGTCAGTTTCCTTTTAAAAAAAAAACCACCAACCCAATCCTACATTCCTACTGTTTTGGATATCTTTTAGTAGTGCGAGTGTGCGACTAAATCTTGATTATTGCAATGAGTGATTAGCTTTATATTATCCATAAAATACTGGAGTAAAACTAGCTACTTTTATTTTCCACGGTGAACAATGCAATCGAGGCGTCGTTTTGGTTTTCATGTACTATCGTATATTCGTATTCAAAAATTCTATAGGTACCCCAAATTGTACCCACCCCTGAATTGCCTGTGTACGCAGGCAATTCGTTTGAAAGAGGGCAGAACTTTCTACCCAAATGTCTGTGTACACAGACGGTGTACACTTTGGGGTACAAATTGGGGTACCCCAAGCAGCTCTCATTCGTATTTGGGAACAACATTACCCTTTTCGGAATCATATTTTGAAGGTAATGCCGTAATACAGAAATATCATCTCTGGTCTAAGTCACCCCCCTAAGTGGCATTCCGCACATACCATCATGCACTTTCGGTAAAACTGTGGTTTTGCTTTTGCCTTTAGCAAGGCCTATAAGAAAATTAAAATGTATGTTTACAGTTTTTCAAACATATGGCTCTATTCTCTTGCATAAAAGGGTCAGTTTGGTACTCGAAGTTGCATAATAGGGGTTAAATAAGTTCTTATATAGAAAATTCTGTCCGGACGTGCCATTTGAGGCGGTTCCCGATGGAATTTTTTGATGATATTTTTTGAGAATCTTATTCATTAATTCTAGTTTACTCATACCAAATTTCAGCTAAAACTTCAACCGGAAAGACATTTAAGCGAATTTTTGAAGATAACTGCGCTTTTAACTGCACAGTTATTTTCAAGAATTCATTTGAATGTCTTCCCGGATGAATTTTTATCTGAAATTTAGTATGAGTAAACTAGACTTAATGAATAAGATGCTCAAAAAATTTTATCAAAAAATTCCATCGGGAACCGCTCCTAATGGCGACGGCCGGATAAATCCTTCTATATAAGAACTTATTTGACCCCTTTTATGCAAGACCAAACCCACCCTTTACTCATTCTCTTATACACCATGGCCAAAGCATATGTCAATATGCATTTGGAACAAAGGGAGTACTGTTTTTTTCGAATATAAATTTTTCACTGAAATCAAAACGGGAATATGATTTACAATTTTACATATTTCAGAATTTCATTTTGCTACTTTAAAAGTTTTGATACAGTTATGATAAGTTTGAATTGTAAAAAGTTGCCAAAAAATGTAAAAAGTCACCAAACGTGAAATGATTTAGCAAATTATAAATGAAACAAATATGACTACGAGAATAAAGGAAATCAAATATGAAAGAATATTGTGTTTATTTCCTCTCAGAAATTTTTAAAAATAAAATGACTAATTAAATGGAAATACATAGGTATGTATTTCTTATTCATATAACATGAATAAATATAAATAAGGTTAGTTATTTCTTTAAAGAAAAAATAGAAAATAAATGTATTAAGTTTGGAACAATGTTTGCTTGAAACTTGATCAAAATTAACTTGCATAAACAATGTTTGTATAATTGTATTGTTAAAATTTGTACAGAAAAAAGAGAGTATGTTTAATTATATACTAACATTTTCCTATGTTCTCATTGAGGGATACACCCGGATTCTGATTGTACATTGTAAAGCCAGGAAAACCTAGAGAATAATATATTATTTGAGGGAGCATTATTAAACCATTAAGATTTTGAAAAGCGTGCAATGGAACAAAGACAGGCTGCTATGGTTAACATATCTCTGGTTTTACAAGTTTGATTTACACAAAATGTCTATCACACGGCTCAACCTTAACTTTTCAATCTACAACGCAGCGGTCAGCGCATTACAAATCCGAACCAACGAACTAATTAAGAACCCAATGAGGATCCAGACTTGACGACGGGCCTGGTGTTCTGCCACAGCCATTCGCGCGGTTGACCATCAAGTAAAGGCGAGACCTGTCAACAACAGGGAGCTCCAAACATTAACCGTGACAATCTTGTTAAATTACAAAACATAGGACACATTATTGTTCTTCCATAGTTCCATGTCTAGCCTATTATTTTCCCAAAAAAGCAAGCATGTTTTGAAAACATGTCCATGCATATCTTTTCCCTTCAAAATAGTCCAGGTGGCTTATTTTTCAATTATGACATGAAATTAAGATATCCATAATATTATTTCAGTTGTAAACTTATAATTTCTTATTTTTATAACTACTTTAAATATAACAAATACTTTGTGTTTATTTTGCATTGTTAAGTTATTATATAACTTTTCATTAGAGCGAATGAAGCTTGTTTATAGTTAGCAAAATAGTACTCAGTACTTTGAATTTTCATTGTTAATAGTTATGAGATGTGGCATGCTGTTTTATTCAATATTTATGACTTTTATATTTTTTTTATGCGAACTCAATTGTATGTGATTTAACTTATAAGCATATAAGTTTTGGTAAACCGATTGTGTTACAAACAATAAAACAGACAGGCTTTTTAATTTTCCAAATAAAAAAAATGAAGCTATAAAAAGAAAATTAAAAACTGAAATGTTTCATGTCTTCAAAACAGAAACTGGAGTTTGTAAGGAAATATAGATGCAAAACAGAAATAGAAATCTAAAGTTAATGGACCCTTACCTTCTCCCAGACTTGCAAGTGGTAAGTATTTAGCCAGCCAATTTCATCAGCAGAGAGTAACAATAAATCTACACATTTAGTCTAGAAAAAACAACAAAAGTCCGATTAGGAATAAGCATCAAGCGGTGGACTCATGCTCATCAAAGTTGCAAAGGAACACCCATCAGTCATCAATAAACAACATTCAAACATTATGTGCACGCGATTTCCGTTTATGATGACTGTCTCTTTAGGGTTACAAAGCACATAAATTTGATTGAGTGCAAAATGTTTCAAATAAATAGTTAAGTCTGATTTAGTATTATTCTGGGAAACAGACAAAGGACAAACGTTGCTAATTAAAGCTCGTATACCTGTATTGGGACAA